TAAAGGCAGCTGTATGACCTTCAACAATGAGAAAAATCCATAACGTATAGTCGTCTATAAAAGGCTCTGACATGGAAAATATGAAACAATTCAATTGAGAAAGCAAACGGCCTAAGATATAACAAAACAATTTACCAAAAACAAATATAAAAGACATGAACCAACGATAAACACTGAACAACAGGCTCCTGACCTCGGGCAGGCACATACAGAATGTGGCGGGGTAAAACATGTTTGCTGGCGCTAAACCCTCTTCTAACCTGGGACAGTGATGTAACAGTACAACATAAGAACAAACTATAAAAATCAGTTGAAAAGGGCTTAACTCATCAGACAGATCGATACAAAGCAGAAAACATCTAAAGAAAACATAGACTGAACGTGGCAGCGTATCTAATCATCCCACAACAAAAAAGACACAAGATACAGATCTGACAATACTCGCAGTTACTGACAGCTAGTTCAAATCCAATAACAACTAATAAAAAATCACGTATCTAGGACTGAAATATCAATCAGTACACATCCAACACTCAATGGATTTAGTGTAACGACGTCATTAACAGTCAGAGAAAAACATGACCTTGTGCAATGCCAAAATATATGTATCGACAGATACAAGCCCACATATCTTCATATGTTACACATTTCATCTATTAATCTTCATATATTACACATTTCATCTATTAATCTTTATATCAAGCCACAGTAACAAAATATAACCTTACTTGACTATAGAAGTTATAATAAGCCAGAATTCTGAATATATCATGAACTAACATTATGACAAATATAAGTATGAACCGAATCATAAAATGTAAATTCAAAATTGCAAAAAATTCCACCTGTTATATGAAAAAAACCAACAAGAACATATAGATGCACCAATATGATGTAGAAGTTCTTAAGGGGATATTGTATTACTCAACCGATATGTTTGTATGGAAAGTAGGAAACCCAAAAGAGTGACATACATTATACATGTACATGTTTGTAAGATATGCACGATTCTCATCGCTATCTTTTCGTCAAAGAATTTTGTTCGAAGCAACATTTCACCCATGATATAGAGGTTTACGTTATGATGATACATTTCAAAGCTACTTTTCCCTAATAATTGCCTTAATTCATATTTCAGTAAAAAATACTTTGTATTCAACATGTTTAAATCAAAAGAATTTCCAGGGAAGAAAAGTATAACTTGTTAAACATTTTAACCCCGCCACATTATTTATGTGCCTGTCCCAAGTCAGGAGTCAAACATTCAGTGGTTGTAATTGGTTGCTCTCTGTGCTATTTGTTTTTAGTTAGTTTGTTTGTCATAATATCAGGCCGTTGTTTTCTGGTTTGAATTGTTTCCCAATTTTGTCATGCTTGGGCCTCTTTATAACTACATATACACCACTTTGCGTGTGTTCATTGTTGAAGGCTGTACTGTCACTAATAGTTCCTTGCATTCACGTCATTAAGACTCTGCAGGATAATTGTCTCATTGCAATTACCAATCATACCACATCTCTTTATCTTTATATAAGAACTTTGTATGTCATGCCAAAAAAAAAAGTAATTAGGTCCTTCTGACCTATGGGTTTTTCCTAAAAATAGGTATTCTGATTCCCACCTTTGTTGAAAAAAACATTGATTAGGGAGCAGGAAAACAAAATTATGTTTGAGAGTAAAAGCATTAGATTTAATGTTAAGTAAGTTCTTAATATAACCCCTCCCCAAACTAAAATGGTCCCTTATTTTATTTTGTTGTATGTAAACTCATCATAGATCACATGCTGAATCTGTTTTACGACAAACGGGCGTTTCGTCTACAAATGACTCATCAGTGACGCTGGAATAAAAATAGTTAAAAGGCCAAATAAAGTACGAAGTTGAAGAGAATTGAGAAAGGTTTTGCCAAATACATTTGTTTTGTTTTGATACATGATTTATTGATTGTTGTTTGCTTTATGTCCATTGGGAAGCATTTCATGCATGTCATGAGAATAAACTAACTTACTAAAGTTAGGCCGACAAGGACTAAGAGGGGAGGGGAGAATTTACATCCGGTACTTGAACTTTTACAAAAATAAGGAGATGACTGCCAATGAGACAACTATCCACCAAAGTTCAAATGAAGTGGATGTTAGCAATTACAGGCAACTGTACGGCCTTCAACAATGAGAAAAACCCATAGAAGTCATTAAAAGAAAAGGATTACATTTTGTACTTAACAAATTTTGCATCAAAACAATTAACTTTTACGGACTTCCTAAAATACACAAAAGAGTCGAAATAAAGGAAGCTATAAACCTCTAGAATAGTGCATTAAAGGATGTAAAATGTGTTCCAATAGTAGCAGGACAACAACGTCGACACAAAGACTGGGCCATCACCTATAATTTTGAAACCATTATGTCAGTTTGTACCAATTTTCAGTAGAGATGACCTTGAATTTTTAATCCATCTTTCTGGGGAAGTCGGAGAATAGTCTACAAAAGTACAGTCAGGATTCTACTTCGTCAAAATTATCTCCCCATTACGCCACCAAGATGTTTTTAATCGTGAAAATGGAAGCCATTGTAGAGATGACGCGGTGTCAATTTGGCTCTTGAAAACCGATAAATCTATCCACATAGCTTCATTACGATTCTAACATGACAGTTGTTTTTCAAAAGACTAATGTATCTACTAGCTTTTAAGCATCATTTAATGTACTTTTAGGCATTTTGTCAACTAAAACCAATTTTGTTGATCGGTTGTCAAGGGGAATTTTCGAAAGTTAAAGAATAATACTAAAAAATTCTAATTAAATATTTCATGGAAAGGCAGACTAAATATTTTCAGACGTTGAAGACTTATTACCCTAGATACCACACACACATTTTTTTTGTTGAAGTTATGCATTTTTAAGATCCACTTGTAAAGTCTGTCGTCAAGTACTTTTAGTAAAAATTTGTTATTGAAGCTTACCTACTCTATTATTATGACTCATTAGAAAGGTATTTCACTTGACCCATATATTTCATTTTTTAGTCTTGTGAATTTTTAATGTTATTATATCAACCTGTAACCTAAATATAAAACAATAATGGAATCTGATGCGAGATGATGTATCAAATATGTTTGCTTTATACATTTTCAAGAAAAAACAGTCAACTCAAACACGCCTGAACATAAAAAAGTGTACTCGACAATTTCTTTTCGATGAGATTATTGCCAATTTTTAGGATTTTTTTAACAAAAAATTGTCACCGGGGGCAGAGATGCAAATTAATGCTTTCAAAAGATTATTCTTTTATATTTCAGTGGATTTTTTTTCTGCGGAATTGATGCTGATGCACAAAAAAGATCCACAAGTATTTGTACCTACCACAATCGACTGTTTTGTGAAAATTTGTCTTTAATTTAAAAGTTTACAAATGTCTCGAAGTACCTTACTATAATTTAAGTGAAAACACGTATGTAAGATGCAAAAAATAATCCTAAAGCATGCACCTACATTCAACTTAGTTTAAAGCCCATAGAAACAGATGTTAACAATTAAAATAAAAAAAAAACTTGACGTTTTAACCTTCTCTAATAAAGAGTTCTAGTTCTTTTGTTTAATTTCAACTGGATATCAGCCTGAGTAAGCTTTGACGTTATAAGCTTATACACAAGTATTCCCCATAAGCCAGGAATTGAAGCAACACGCTTTTGGTAAAATAAATATGGAAGAAATATTGATTACGTTTTTCAAAGGATTTCTTAATCCAAGAATTACAAAAATTAGTTCTACTTTAATGACAAATATTTTCTACGGATATCAGGAACTGCGATGGGTACTAAGGTTGCACCAACCTAAGCAGTTTCCCATTTTATTAGATGCCGTCACCAGATCTTTTTAGGAGACTTTCCATGGAAAGACATTCTATGAAGATATTTCAACCGAAACTGAACTGTAACATATATGGCCAAATCCTAGATACTTTATTCATATGATTTGTACCACGTGACTTTGGCCCTTTTTGATTAAATTACTACCCTTACTTGTAGATCGAAAATATAAATTATATCAAATTTGCGGACAATCCAGTTTTTCCGTCTTGGATCTAAAACTAATGTGTCTTTGAAAACTTCCTTTGGCGGATATTTACAAATATGTTGTGTAATTCTACGGAAAAATGCTTAAAATTGACTATTTACAAAATGAAGAGGATGAAATCATCATGTTTTTAAAACAATTTGACAGAAAACGTAAGAAAGCAGGTAAGATAAAAGTTATTTAACCGGAAAATTCAACCTGCAAGGTGTTTTCCTATATGCGGACAAATCATAAACAATCTCTTCTTGTATCCTTATTTTTATTTTGAATCTTGCTTTTTTACGATTTTTTCGTTATTTTATATAGCATTTATAACTACGGTTACGCTTCCGATTTTCAAACTGAAAAAGCCGGAAGTTTTCAAAGTAGACAATGTTTATTTGTACACGAACAGAAGGCAAAAAAACCCACAAAGTTTCATTTTATAAACACAGAAGATATACACACATCTATTGTTTATAAATTAAATTACTTTTATCTGCGGACGTCAAAGTATTCATCGACTTACCGGTGTATATCTCGTTCTGACTATTTCGTAGGAATATCCTTGTGTATTGAATATTAGATTGTTTACACTGAAAGGACAGCCATTAATATCCTTAGTATTTTGAATGATTTTAAAGTTCTATAAACAGTAAAGATGCTAAATATAACGTGTCGTTGTTATGACAAATTAGCACAGGAGTGCTAACTACAGGTCTGATTAAACCCTAGGAGACAAAACGTTCATAAGCAGTGGTATTGACCTAGTTGTCCTAAAATCCTATCAAAGATACCAGGCGTATAAATTTGTACACGAGACGCGCGTTTCGCTTACATCACGGGCTCTCGAATCATAACAAATAGTTATCCCAGATGCTTGTTAAAACCCAACAACAAATTCGCAGTATTTGGCCACAGCCTTTAAGGTTCCACTAAAGTCAAATTTCAGTTAAACTTAATTGTCAATTTATTAATTATTTGAGGAAGAAAGATTACCATATCATATATAAAAATATTCCTTGTTGTGTGTAGAATACATATATAACAAAATTAAACACTTCAGCATGTATATAAGTCTAATAAGTCATGAAGAATAGAGGCACACTTTGAAAAAATCCACAGCATTTCCATGTACACAAAATTCTGAAAAATATGAATAAAACTATTGAGGATAGGGATTTCTAGTGCACGCTATTGTTTATTTTGAATAAAATGCAACTATAAAAGCATGTTTGGCCATTAAAACTTATTCTTTATGAAATAAAATAGTCGGCCATATTTGATTAGGAACTACTTTTTGGTGAAAAGTTTGGGGAACATATTGTGAAAACTGTTATATATTAATATAAATGTATTAGAAATAAAATTAATACACTTTGATGTAAACATGTTTATTTTAATACAGATATTTCAAAGGCTTCAGTGTTCTTAAAATTTTTTTAAATCAGCCTTTTGAAAAAAAGGGGGGAGGGGTGATAACATATAAAAACACCATCTTTACAATATCAAAATAATCTTTGTTACCATGGGGACATTGTATTAATTACAGCTTTATAAATTTTATACCTATAAAGAAAGATACAGTTGGTGTATTTTGTTATTGTCGTCATCAGTACTGCCCTATGTCCACCCTTGGTCTCTTCATGCATTCCAACATTTTAAGTTAGATTGAAGAAATAATTCAGCATATGGTTTTGTATGACCTTCTTTTATTTGCTTCAAGGTTTTGAAGCTCATGTTTTATGCTAACAGCACAAAAAACAGGTTCCAAATGGCTAAAGTTATATATTTCCCAAGTTTGCGTTCTATTTTTAATACATTGTATATTTACCTAGTTCTGGGCAGAGTATCTATAAGTGATGTATGGCCTCCAACATGTGCCATCAAGAATGGATTTTTTTTATCTCAGAATTCCAGCTTTGGTAAATTCCTGAAAGTTTCAGACTATTCAGTTTTGCAAACAAAAAAGTTTTAACATATATATATATAAAAAAAACAGATATGGGTCAATGGCACGAAGACATCACCAACTCCAAAAATGCAATACAAAAAGAAATTGAGAGCTAACCACATGAACTTCAACGAAACATATATTTTTGATCCCTTTATGTGAGCTACAAGATCACCTCTTCAACATTTTGTACTTGCTTTGGGTATCTTTATACACCATTACCAAGCATAATCAACAGTCTTTATGTCAACATCATATTCAAAAGCAGGAAACATGTGACTTTGTCAGCTAAATTTTGCTAATATCTTGATTTGTTCTTTGCCTACACATATTGAAGGTAACTTTTTTTATCATTTAATAAACTCTATAACTACATAGCTAATCATTGTAAAATAATGGGAACTGAAAAGATTATTAACTTACTATTTCACTGTTATCTTTTTACAACATCTATAATTGTTCACAGCCACTTCCTCTCGGACAAACAACATCATATTGAAAAGCAGAAAACAACATGTCAGACAAAAAATAATGAATAAAAACAGTCATACCTCATGGCCATAAAATAAAAATTACACATTACAAGGTAGACACTAGTCCTTTTAAAAAATGATATGAAATTTATATAAAGCATGAACATGATTAGCTCTCGGTTTCTATTTGTATTGAATTTAATGAGTTGTGATGTCTTCGTGCCATTTCCGTTCTTTTTCATATCTGTAATTCACAACAAGCTGAATGGTACAGTACGTACCTACTACAATGATGTCTGTGATGCAACATGTAGATGATTTCCTTTTGGTGTTTTGAATTCGCCTATGGACATGATTGTCCAACTGTCAAGGACCATAACTCTGTAGCTGGAAATTATTACCCAAAAGTAGCATGTTTTTACATAGAAAGGGACATAACTCCATGAAAGCAATATTTGTTCACATTTTAAATGGTGTTTTTGTAATTTGCAGCTTGTATTTTTTCTTTACTACAATAAAATAAGCTTTATTTCAACATACCTGAAATGTGTACAATGATTGATTTTTTTCATATTGTAATGCAGATCATTGGTCATAAACTGTAAATGAAATTCTTCAGTCAACAATAAGGTGAAAATGGTTGTGGTACAATAATAGCAGTTTGGTCACAATGTCTATCACAACATCTAAGTGTCCATCAAATATAACAGCGTTCATCATACACTAATTTCAATTTCAATTTAAAACAGATAGGTAATTCCAAATCCATCTCACAGGGAATTATACTCAGTACAACCTTAAAAAAAATATTGAAAAATATGAAATAATTGCATTGCATTAATAAAAATACAGACAGACGGACAAAGCTAAAACATAAATCTCCCTTAGCCAAACAGTGGGGCCTTGTAAAAACACTTGATGTGAGCAATATGTAATTTTTTGAAAAGAGAACGAAGGATATACCCCCTCCATTATGTAATGTGCATATACAACTACAGGTATGAAGGAGCCTGAATTGCTTACCTATTTCATAATCTATCATCATGATCATTTTGCAGAAATTGACCAAAAAGCAATCAAATTTTAATATTTTACCTTTAAGGGGCCAATGAAACATATAAGGGGTTTTGGTATAATAAAGAATTTTGTCGAGCATTTTATGCTGAAAAAAAGGCTAGTTTATTTTTAACTATCTGTTATCATGGTTATAATTATCCAAATATTAAAAATTCATGCACTAGTTTTTCAAGATATATGACGAAATTTTTTATGTAAAGGGGTTTCTCTAGAGTTTTCATTACTTTATAATTGGCGGCTTTTAGCTTAAAAAATTATACTCCCTTAAGAAAGTTTACGAATGATGTGCTACAAACAGGATGTGAAGGAAATCGCTCATCCTGATTCAATTATGGTGAGATAAAATGTACATACCTAACATGTATTATAAGTCACAGAATTGTAGAGAACCAGAATGATAATCTTCAACTAAATGGTCAATTTCATAAACATCATCATCTCCGTCATACAACACTTCATAGACTGCATTCAAGTTTCCATCTGTCCCTTTAAGTAACGACACAACTGTTCCTTTATACCATTCCTTATGGTCTGCATCCTCGTCAATGATCCACTGCTGTTTAATGCTACGTCCAACAAATCTGATCTGTTTCTGCCTTCCTCTCCTGATATAATAAAATAACAACACACTTACAAAATTAAAATACCAAGGTACTTGGTTGTTCCATACTATCTCATAAAAAATGTATACATGTAATTGTATGTCTAGTATTCAATATTCAGAGGCAAAGCATATCTCATCTAGTAAGAGAGATGTACATATATCATGTATATAGTGCAAGCATACTAATAACTTAAATAATACAAATGTGTTTTTCATTTTGTACATACATGTCTTGTTCAATATTGGAGACAATCACATGATCAAAATAAAATAACTAACCTTGTCAGGGGCAGATTCAGACTGACAAGGATAATGCTAAATGTCCGTTCCATAATTCTTTTTGATGAGAAAACATATCTGCTAATTCCATTTCGCAAAATATTGCATAATTGTTTTGTTCTATATTTTGTATTGACATCACATCAAATTAGAGAACATACGAAATTCATAATACCCATCATTACCCGACATGATTTTGGGTTTTAACCATATGTATATATGTATATACTGAAATGGCATAAAGTAATGAATATTTATACGAATTTGGCTAAATGTACATCTTTAATGTACCACTTTCTTTAATAATGATCCTATTGGAAAATTTTGAATAAAACAACAATTTTCAAATACCTTATTCTTGTCAAAGAAACCTACTGATCTTTGGTCGGTTTGTTGTCTCTTTGACACATTCCCCATTTCCATTCTCAATTTTATTTTCAAGATTACAATACTATTCATTATAACATTGTGTTCATACATACATACAGGTACATGTATGTATCAAGGACTACTTTTTTTATTTAAGCCCATAATTTTACTTTGTATGTCGTTTCAGTGTTTTGTCATATGGGCAATCGTAGGGTGATGTGTTGTGTTTGGTTACATTGGGTTAAGAGCATCAGGTGACCTCTAGATGGCTTGTTATGGTCTCCACTATCGGAGCATGTAGTTTTTTTGGGTAAAACGTAACCACCATCTCTTATTGTCCCTCGCCACAAAGTGTTGGATGGAAATGGTAATGGATAGGTCTTGTGCATGCAACTCCTGAAACCACTTGATAGATTGCTTTGATATTTGGTAGGATGTATTGGTATGATATGTAGATGTGCATACTTCACTGACATTTTGAATCATAAAATTTTGTAGGATTTATGGTACTTAGACCATTTTCATCATTTGTCCCAATGGTGGGGGATATACAGCTATGTGTAGTAATCTTGTTAAGATTGTGTTCATAATGTTCATATAAAATTACATACGTCAGTCTAATTGGTGCCGTTTCGTTAGTTTGGGTGATGGCTGTTTCAGAGTCTGATGAACTGTCTTGTCTTGGATTCTGTTTTTTGGTCTTTCTTCTATTTGTTGAAGCTGATGTTATCTTCCTCTTTCTTTTTATACTGGTTTTGGAATCAACAAACTGAAATTTTAAAAGTTGTATTATAAGAATATTCCATTAATATACTGTGTTTCAGACCAGCATCGCACTCAACAATGATAATGTCAATGTAATTGGTTGTGAAAATTTAAAATAAAAGCTGTATAATGATTGTCAAATTTGGTTTGTTGCATACTGAAAAACTTTCGAACAAAATAGGCATCCCCTTTGAAAGAAAAAGAATGTTTCCCTTTCATCCTGAGATCTGGAAAATACAGTGAACTTGTGTGTTTATACCTGTATCTAAAAACAAAATAAATATTTATTTAATATGCAAACAATGTGAATTTTGATGAAAAATGTTTTCTGGTAGGCCTTTTTTGTGTTAAAAACATTAGAGTTGTGAGGCGGCTATATCTTTTGGCTCTTAGACATCAACATCTATATATATGTGGAAAATAATTAAGGAGTATGGACAAATTATAGTACCTTTATATATGTTTCACCTCCTTTCATAATATACATATTTAAATAAACATGTACTTATATATACGTGTTTAAAGACAATTGGAAGATTTTTCTTCTCAATACAGAGGCTGACAATTACAATGTATATACAATACCTGTATAAAGATAATTGGAAGATTTTTCTTCTCAATACACACATGACAGAAAATGACAGAGGCTGACAATTGTATACAATACCTGTATAAAGATAATTGGAATATTTTTCTTCTCAATAAAAAAACTGACAATTATATACAATACCTGTATAAAGATAATTGGAAGATTTACCTTCTCAATAAAGATAAAATACCCTGATAAGTTCAATAAATCAAATATTGTTAAGTAAACAACACAATTTTAATTAGAGTTGCTTTTTGTTTGATTTCAAACTTTATATTAAACTCACCCATAGTCCTGGTTCTCGAATGCCTGGGCTCTTTCCTTCTCGTGGTGAGACTAGTTCAGGTAAAAGTGCCTTATTGAAGAAAGCTTTGAGTTTGGGTAGTAGTGTGTTCTCCCAAAGGTCAACATCTCGATAAATTCTCTGTATGACCATCTGATATGGATTCAGTGTACGTACAACAAAGTATATCCATGGTTTGCCACAAACATTCAGAAGGCCATGGCATTGGAAAAAATAGGGATGATTTTCCTTCAACTTCAAATTTCCATTGATAGTTTTGAGGCAGAAATTGTTTGAATTAGCAGCTTCAAAAAGGTTGATTGGTTTTGAATGCAAAAGGTTTTTTTTTCAATAAGTCCAGTGCCGTCAGTTGATGATATAACAATCCCATCTGGACTAGCAGCTAAAAATTTGTAGGTTGGATGAATAACAAGACCGGTTTTATTCACACAGATATTCTCATTATCTTCGGCTTTCTTCAGCTTATATTCCTCTATGGTGGTATCTTCTTGTAGAATGCCATTTCTGGTATGTCTATTTCCTTTAAATTGGGAGTACAGCAAATTACGGACAAATTTATGTATTGGTAAAGATGGGTTTTGTCTAATGATGGAACCAAAGTTTGAAGCAGTTATTCTTTTATGACGTTCAGAATGCCAAAGACCAGATTGAGACTGTTGAACTGTTGATAGTGTAATGTGTTTACATTGATCAGCTGAAAGATTGATATGTGTGTCCAAAAAACCATTCTGAAGTTTTTCAAGCTCTGTGGTAGATACATCAGTACTAACCTCAATGGCATCTGTACATACAATGTATGGTTAAATTTGGCCTTTCCTTGTAGTGCAGCCATTCAGGGATGAGACTTTCCGTTTCCACCTTTTTTTCTTGACATCTGGCTTTGATTTGTGACGAATGGAATTTTTTAGCATCTGTTCGGTACGTTTGCACCTAGCTGTGAAATGTTTTCCTGGTTCTGTCGCTGTACAAGTTTCCCAAGCCCGACTTGACCACTGCGGACCTAAATTCATTCGAAGAGCTTCACCATAGCATCTAGCATGCCATGACCCACGGTTACAAAGGTTATAGACCTTTCCTCCATCAAATTTGGTTCGGATGTGCATCCAGCTCTCTGCTAGGTTCGTGGTACTGTTGCTGATTAGGCGGTCAGATTTCTCAGCTATTCTGTTAAGCAAGGTCAAGACATCCTTAATTATATGCTGTTCAACATTACTGTACTGTATTGTTGTTCCGAGTCTTGACTCTTCCTGGGATGCTAGTGACGATCCTTCCGACCAGAAACCTATCTGACAATCTAAAAGATCTTGGTCATCTGAGTTTGTTGTTATGGTGGGTGAAGATGCTGTTGAAGGATCAGAATTCGATGAAATATGAATATCAGGAGATGTATCTGTTTGTTTGATTTTAGCACGGCAGAAATCAGAACAGTTATCATGTTGACCAAAAACATGGTTGACAGAGTTTATAATGTCATGGCGCAGTCTTTTAATTGCAGTTGATCTATCTACTGTTTGTTCATTCAGTTCTTTGGACCTAAGCGGATGGCAGATCTTAACGCGCTAACCAGGCGCACTCGTGTTGTTTTTGATAAATGGTGTCCTCCTTTGTAGAGTGGGTTCTCAGTTACCATCTTTTCTATGTTGGATCGGTTTTTTGAAACACCCTTGGCACTCTGCCATCATCACGCTAGCTAAACCTAAAGATCTCACCTCTGTTTGTAGCTTGATTGGAGTGTTTCCTTCTGATCCTACCTTCATAGCCTCTACACATAAACATACATGCATTGTTATTTCTGAAACATGTGATTGCAAGCAGTCTAAGTTCATCATTCTGTACCCTTTGGGACTGAGGTCTTTAACTTTACGTATTCTCATTCTCAAGTCATCGCCTGAGGAAAAAGCTGAATATATAGAGCTGTTTGACATATGTTTTTTCAATGTAGTGTCATAGAAATTATGTAGTTTCCTTATCTTTATCTTCAAAATTTCTTTTCTGATGTTTTTTGACTTTTTTTTAATTCTGTAAATAGGTCTCCCTAAATGCCTCCCTCTTCTTACTCTGCTATGCCTACCCAAACTTCTACCAAACACTCTGTTCTTTTTAATTTTACTGCCCATAACAAATTACTTTTTCGATATTGTCAACACATGCAGTGGCTTCCTCTTGTCAACCTTGCTTTCCGTACACGTTTTTTACCATTTTTAAATATATTTTTATTTTCACTTACCTTTGTTAAAATGTGTTTCTTACCCATACTTTTACCATTCATATTTCCAAAATTTTAATAATTATTTAATTTAAAAGTAATACTAACTCACCAAAATGAAACACGAGTAAATATGTCTGTTTGACAAACATTGTATTTATTTTTTCCGTTAAGGGCTTAACTGGGACATCTGATGTTTACTTTTTAGTGATATATATGTACTGTACAACTATTTGAATATATAGGATTAATACCTTACCAATCAAAATTCACCGGGTATCCAAGAAACTGATATTTTCCCAATGTTTACTTCACTTGATAAAAAAGATCAACCATAGTTCTTCAAACCGGAAGTGAGTTCTCTCAAATAGTTATTTATTTCGCATTGGAATTTAATGGTTAAATCGATTGTTCAATGCCCGAAAACTCAATTTATCTGAAATATTTAATAAAACATATCAGAAGACTCATTCAATTTATAAAAATTGCTATTTTTCTAATATTCGAAAGTGCGGTGTGATATCAAATCATGAACCTCTACTTTCGGTTTCAGAAGAGCCAAATAACATCCAATTCAACAGTCTATTTTACTGTGTAATGGTAAAAAATGTTTTTAAAATAAAGCTAAATATTCTCATACACATATGAATTTTCAAGTCATTAAGTGTCAAGGACGATCAAGCCCTATAAACAGTCGTAAATAGTAAAAATTCAATCATACAGCAACATTGTAAAATGGAGGCTATCCACCAGCGTGGGACACTCTGTTATTCTTAACTTTATGAAAAGACAGATGACTTTTAGCAAGTTTAAGGTATAGCTCGGCCTGCATTGAAACATGAACAATACTAGGTGCAAATTTTGGGTGATATAACGTTGATGTAAGAAGGTTCTTTTTTTTTGAAAAAATGTGTGGTGTTGAGATGCATTTTCAACTTTTGAAATTGAAATAGTGTATTTAATTCCAAGGTTTGACACAAGCCCTGCATGGCCCCACAAACTATGATAAAAATTACATAATTTGACAAAATTTCACCCCTCAGTAATAAGTATAAGGTACAAAACTGGTAGATTTTTGTAAATGCACCACCAGATTGAAATTTTGACTTTAGCGGAACCTTAATATTATTTAAATTTATACATATTGTATATAAGTAATCTCAAAATAATATACATATTGTATATAAGTAATCTCAATATAATATACATATTGTATATAAGTAATCTCAATATAATATACATATTGTATATAAGTAATCTCAATATAATATACATACTGTATATAAGTAATCTCAATATAATATACATATTGTATATAAGTAATCTCAATATAAATGTATGTATGTGCCGCAGATCGCTGGCAATTTAACTGTCACTTGTATATCTGAAAATATGAGGTTACCGGCATATCGCTGATTATGGCAACCGTACTATCAAATATATATATAAATGACTACCACAGATTGTGGTAACTGAGTATAAGATCAGAACAATTTGGATCACCGTGGGAACACGTGAGGGATCAAAACCATTACATTGTTCATCTGTAGTGAATGATACTATTTATAAAACGAAATGTTTTTTTGATGCAGCGAATTATGCCAGACTGACATTGAAACCAGTCCTTGATTACACTGTCAACCGCCATAAAATGGGGGTTCGCTGCCAAGCTGTGTGCCAAATACATTAACCAATAATCAAAACATTTCAAACTTAAAATTATAAAGTGACGTCAATAACGGAAAAATTAAAAATCATTTTTATGTAACTTAAACTATACAAGCTAGATAATTAATCATACATATATTTTTAAATCAATCTTCTGTTTCAGTAGTTGAAAATATATACTTACCAACTGCCTTATGCATGAGCAACAAAACCACCTTGGGTCGATATAAAAAAAATTCCAAGAGAACATAAGTGTAAAGTTTGTAAAATTTTAGAAGACTTTTTCCTTCATTGCCAAATCAGCAGTGATATTAGAAATCCATTTATTAACATAATTAAAGCCCATTATTCTAACTTTAACCAGATCTTATCCTATTGTAAACTATTTCAGATCCAAATGAAGATCACTGTTAAAGATATTTGTCAAGTCTTGTGGCTGTATAATAAAACTAATCCATGGAGTGACGAAAAATAAGGTCCACATTGGTCAATTATCTATATACTTAATATATAATGATAATGTATATTATCAATATTAATTTGACTTGCTTAGAACATTATATGCTTCCTGTGTACATGGATATTATGTTTGCCTTTTAATCCGTCAGGTTTTTACTTTTTGCAATTAGTTATGTATTAAGAAAATATTGTTTCCGCCAGATGACAGATGTACCCCATCGATTTTAATATCTTTTCACTTCTGGAAATGTCTCACAATCTCCAACCAAATCTTGGCAGGTTAACATTTATAAACAACTCTATGTTGCTTTTAATTTGATAACAGTTCTTATTTGTGGAGGAAAACTATCAAACTGTTTACTAAACTGCGACTTTATTATGACAGAAAGTCTTGAAACATTTACCATCATTTTTGAAAAAAATAGCTCTTCAACCTTTTATGCAAATTAGCATTGGCCGACAATGCACGATAAACAGCAGAAAATATTCCCAAATAGGGCATGCCAATAATATCCCGCATGAACATGCTGGATCAGATGCTTTGCGTAACCTGAATTGCTCAGCATACAACTTTGTGTTAATATTTCGCTTTGCATCTAAATGAAAAGTCGTCGTGTACTTTAGTAGATTCTGGGTCTATTTGGATGAGCTGTACACTAGACATGTACATTTATTTAACAGATGTTCATTACTGAATGAAGGAAACGAAATTTATTTTGTGTACTAATTTAAAACTAGCTTACGTGTAGCCGGCTTTGAATAATTGTTCTAAAACAATATACCAAAATTAATAATTAACATTATACAACTTTTTCTCATATACCTCCAGAAACATTTAAAGCTTTATCAATATGCATGCTAACATTAGTTATTTGATAAGACTGAATAAGGTTACATTGCCTAATGAACGATCTCGACTGGTTCCGGTGTTAAAATAGGATCATCTGTACTTGTAGTGGACTATACCTCTGCAGTTGTATTTAACATTCGGTTGAAGAAGGCTAATGTGGTAAATGGCAATACTATGTACCCCCGAATTGTAACAGATGTAGTTGTCGTTTAAATGTGGTACAGGTACAAATATAGCTGGTAGCCTTTCGTTGACTTTCTTGCAGAAGCTGCTACTGACAGTTATTGGTGTAGTTTGCTTTTTCTAACTGACTGTCTCAGCTAAACAGACATAATTGCTAAAAATTAAACTTAGAATTTTGTAACACAATATAAATATGAATTTGTATATATATTAATATCTAATATTTCAAGTTGGAAACCTAGTGACAAAATGTGATCTCCCCTGTAAATACTGAAAACTAGATCTCTTTCAATGGTTGTTCCGTTTAGCCAGGACGCTACCAATTATAAATAAGTTGAAATAAAAACAAACTTCCATTTAATGTTATTTCCTTCTGTAAATAGCAAACGACAAGTGCGGCAAGCTATAGTATAGGAGCTTCATATAAAATTGGATTAAAATGCTGCTATGCAAATAAATTCCTAGAACACAAACTTCAATCTATTTTCTACTGGCTGTATACCTCTCTGTAATATGCTAATCACCGGGATATCTATGCAGCTAGATCAAAAAAGTTCAGGGGGGGGGGGGGGGGGGATTCTAAAGGAAATGATTGATATGCAGCAAAGATTAATACTTTGAAAGTAAGTTACTAAGCAAATTCAAACGGACTTTATCGTGATGTAAACATTGAATGTTCATCGATCGAAAAGACCGCAAATACATGTACAAAAATCAAGACGTCCTTTCTTGAAATTGTACAAAAAAAAATTAATAAGATGCCTACCTCATCAAAATATTTATCTTTTAATTTTTTGTTTTTGTTTTTGACCTGGACAGACAAGCTAATCACGAAAAAACAATGTCTTTATCAAATGCTCACGTGAGAAGAGCAGACTGGTGTACTCAAAAACTAAGATGTAAAAATAAGTACATTTTGGCAAATTGTAATGAGCTTATGAATTTGTGGAATACTTCGAAAATGGGGGACCTGAAAGATCTTTAGATTTTAAATGTGCAGAATCAATATACAGCAAAGATTAAAAATTTTTAGACTTTAGTTTCACAAGCTTCTAATGCAATTAGCTCATCAATGCTGATGTGTTTTGCTTGTCAACAAAAATTACGAACATTTATAAAATTCTTCAGTTGGACGGCAAACGATTTAATGGCTTCTAAGGTTAAGACATTGGTCACGTGACAAAAGGTCAGAGTTTACGTTTTTACGTTTTTTTGGTAAACGTGCATGCCTCGTGGTTTTTCGACTCGTATCGTCTTATTTGTACTCGTACATTAATAAAAATCAGAGTGTTCAAAATCTTGAGTGAATAAGCTTCATTATTCTTGATATATACATTTTGAAACCGAGATTGTCGCTAGCTCACCGAAATGCAATATACTTATGATGAAATCATGAAAAAAATTACCAAATGCATGCAAGATTTGATAATAGTTAATAATCACACACAACTCATCCGTAAATATGAATAATATTAAACAAAAGAATCTCTCGGACTATATGAAAACTGACCACAAAAAAATCAATTCATTGCAATAGTTACGCAATAGTTACAACACGAACAGCAAAATTTAAACATATGCAGAATTATATTATAATAGATATTAGGTAGATAAATTAATCACTATTTAGGCTGTGACCGGTTGTTTGTTCAAAACAATGTTATGAATACAAACTCTATTCTTTATCCTTAGTCAATGACACCCATATTTGAATGATCACTAATGAATGCATAAAAGATGGTTCAACGTATCTTAGGAAAACATAATTTTTTTCGTCAAAAGCAAAATATTTTAGGGTTGCCATGAATATGATATTAAAAATCTGTAAAATTCGATGCCGTATTGAGTCCTTACAAACGAATATGATATAGAAAACTGCTAAAAGATGCTATACCAGAATCCTCACACACAAATTTAATATGAGAAATTCTAGAACTACGTAAAATCTAAAAAGAACAATGATCATGATGTTTAATTTCCACTAAAACCTTTTTCAAATGATGAAGTCGTACAAGGTACTGGACCATGAAAATCTTACTACTATTTACTTCTATTCTGTAAAATGGTTCATCCTATCTCGTTCGGATAATGCAAAAATTTTAAAAGAACCATTGAATCTGGTTATATATCTGTTACTTTGGAGTTCCACAAGGTTTTACACTTGGACCTTTATTATTCTTTGTCT